AACCCACTTGAATCTAATGTATGAAATATGATATGTCAAGAGCTTTGTAATGTTTTGAACAACCAATAAAAAAAAGAAAATTTTTAGAACTAATAAATGAGTACAGCAAACCTGTGGAACACAAGACTAATATTTAAAAATCAATTATGTTTCCCTATACACTAGCAATGAAAAATCTGAAAATGAAATTAAGACAACTTATTTGTAGTAGTATAAAAAATACTGAGGAATAACAAGTTTAACAAAAAAAAAAAGCATAAGATATATACACTGAAGCTACAACACATCCTAGAAATTAGATAAGACATAATGAATAGAAATACCTTCATGGACTACTACTAATGTATGAAATATGATATGTCAAGAGCTGTGTAATGTTGTGAACAACCAATAAAAAAAAAAAAGAAAAAAAAAGAAAACAAATTTGATCATGGAGAAAAGATGTTAAGAGAACATGAACAGAACTTATAAGAAATACATGATAAACTAAATAGACCAAATTTAACATTTATTGGGATAAAGACTCAGAGGTGTAAATGAAAGGAATACACAATCTCTTCAATGAAATAATATCAGAAAATTTCCCAAACTTAAAGAAGGAAATAGAAAATCAAATACAGGAGGCTTAGGACCACAAATATACAAAATCACAGCAGACTCACACCAAGGCACATTATTATGAAAATGCCTAATACACCGAATAAGGATAGAATTTTATAGGCTGCCAGAGAAAAACGACACATAATGTTTAGAAGTAAACCAATTCAGATCTCAGCTGATCTCTCAACCCAGACCCTCAAAGATAGGAGGTCTTGGAATAATATATACTAAGCTCTAAAAGAAATTGGATGCAAGTCTAGAATACTATACCCAGCAAAATTAAACTTCAGAATTGATGATGAAATAAAAACCTTTTATGATGAACAAAAGTTAAAAGAAATCACAACTAGAAAGTCTGCATTACAAAATATACTCAATAAAGATATTTCATGAAGAAGAAATGAAAAATAAGTGAAAACCTGCAAAGGAAGGAACTACGCTAAAAGAATAGTCAATCAATAGAGAAACTAATTCAAATTAGAAACCAGAAATAAATCAAAAAGACTGAAGAGTGATGGTAGTAGTTTAGTAAAATTCATTATTTGCAGAGGAGAGGTGGTAGGTAGAAGGAGCAAAAGGCAGAATGAGGAGTTTTCCCTCTCCAAAACAAGAGACTTAAGCATTTTCTTAGATTTAAATAAAGAAAATGATAAGGGGGAGGCCTAAGTCCTGCAGAAATGGGAAAAGTGAATAGGGTAGAGAGCAGACATGAAGAATGAAACACTTCGCCCCTTAAGACAGTGTCAGAGATGAAGCCATGCTCAGAAGACAGTCAAGCTGGGGTGTGAGCCAAATTCAGCGACAAAAAGAAAAGGAAGGCTGAGATCTGGTTACCATGGAACAGTCTCACATGGGCTGACTGGGCTAGTTAAGAAATATTTCCTTTATCAGCTGATTGCTTATTAAAGTCAGAATGCCAGATAGAACACTTACAACTTGAACACCTCTCCCATAGAGATAGGCCATTCCAAGACCACTCTGTCCAACTGGGTTGCCCTGCGAAGGAGAGAAATCAGACAAAAGCAAAAAGAATTCACTAAAAATAGGCAAGAATAAATAAGTATAAAATAAATTATTTTCAAGCACATTCAAAACATGTCTTAACAGTTTTCATTTCGAAACAATCTTTCTCCCTCTCATCAGACTAATCATAAGGCTGACTTTTAGATATTTGGGGACTATCAATAATTTGCTTACAAAGGAAAAAATCATTCAGAATTAAAAGGTCTTCTTTTTTGGGTACTGGGGATTGAACTCAGGGACACTCGACCACTGAGCCGCATATCCAGCACTATTTTGTATTTTATTTGGAGACAGGATGTGAGTTGCTTAGTGCCTCACCACTGCTGAGACTGGCTTTGAACTCGCAAACCTCCCGTCTCAGCCTCATGAGCCACTGGGATTATAGGCATGTGCCACTGCACCCAGCTAAAAGGTCACACCTTTGTGGTAGTTTTTCATCACTAACTTTTTACCCCATAAAGAAGGATGATGTCATAGGGTACAGTCAACAGTCATATAATACTGGGGATGTAGCTGAGTGGTAGAGCACTTGCCTAGTATACACAAGGCCCTGAATTCAATCCCCAGCACCACAAAAAGAAAGAATATCATATAATAACAATATGTCATGGAACTAACTTAATCATGGTTTTGAGACTCAAAGGACAATAATCTAGAATCCACCCAGAACCTACAGCAATAAAAGACATCTTAAAAAAGGAGTCACAGTGCTCCTCTGGGAAGCACTCAATTGACATCTAGTAGAGTGACATGCAGTTGACAGAGAAGGAAATGTGCATGCCAGAGGCACCCAGGGTCTCAGGTATTCATGTGCAGTTTTCCTTGGGTTAAAGAAAGCTTAATCTATGTATTATGATTATCAAATGAATCCAATTATGTAAGTTTTTAAACTTCAAGTTGCAGTACAAATAAGGTAGATTATATAACTCCCAATTCCAATGTGAATAATCAAGATTTCCCTGATCAGGAAAACTTCTCAAAGAAATTTAAATAGAATTAATATTTAACAATATAGTTATATATTAAAATATTAAAAATTACTTCTTATTGGGAAGGCTTTGTCTAGTTAATACATTCACATGAATTATACTGACATAGGCACTTTTAATCAACTTATGGCATGAATAGTTATGATTAATCCTTCAATATAATAAACTTATTTATTAAACATTAACAATATAGCACACATTTTAAAACAAAAATCATTAAATCTTACCATGTCAGCAGCTTTCTTAAAGTAGTGAAGAGCTGTCTCATTACTCTGAGGTACAATATCACTTCCTTCTGAATACATCTGGAAAACATACCCCAGTTTTTATTTAGAGCTATAACCCTCTGTTATGGTTTGTATGTAAGGTGTCTCCCCAAAATCTCACATGTGAGACAATGCAAGAAGGTTTGGAGAAGAAATTATCGGGTTATAGCCTTAACCTAATCTGTAAACTAATCCCTAATGGGATTAACTTGAGTGGTAACTGGAGGCAGATGGAGTGTGGCTGGAGGAAGTGGTTCATTGGGGGCTTGGCTATGGGGCATATATTTTGTATCTGGAGAATGAAGACTCTCTCTCTCTGCTTTGTGATCAACATGTGAGCTGTTTCCCTCTGTCACATGCACCCACCATGATGTTCAGCCTTACCTCGAGCCTGGAGCAATGAAGTTAGCCTTCTATGGGCAAGACCTCTGAAACCTTTCCTCCTCTACAATTGTTCTGGTGGGTCTTTTAGTCACAGTGGTGAAAAAGCTGACTAAAACACCCTCTCCCAATTATAATTTTCTCTTATCTCACTTTGGTTTCTATTAGGTCACATAAAATCTCTTCACAAAGTTTAGAATCCCCTATAAGATATTAGAATTAAATGCGAACTCTTAAGTGCTAACATTTTAATATTTCTGTATAGTTGGTGTCATATCAAATTTATGATTTATCTATGAATATGAATACATAACATCTGCTCAAAGATCCATCTCAAGAGAAGAAATCTTTTAACGTTTAGGTGAATCTTCCTTCTCATTCTACTCAGGGAAGCTGAACCTTTGGGATAAGATGAGTGACTGAACAAGGACAAGGAGATTGTCAGTAGTGTCTACTCCTCCCTCTCCTCACCCATTGCTTTCCCGTGGATAAGCTAAATGATGGGTCCTTGTTCAGCATTCAAGAAATAACTAGAAGGTTATTTAAAAAGTTTTAACACAGTAAACATTAAAAATCATATATGGAACAGAATAAAAAGCCAAGAGAAAGGAAAACAGAATGGCCAAGGATGTTTTTTATCCATGTAAACATTAAGAAAATAACAAATAAAGGATTTTTTTCCTTTTTTGAGAAAGGGTTAATTAGTAATTCAGAGCAAGAGCCAAAAGGGCTAGAGAGTGACAAGTTCTTAAATGCCTAACAAAAACAGTTGGAGAAATACCAATTTCTACGCTACAATGTTGGAATATTTAAATATAAACTTTCCAGTTGTGATCATGTGGCTGCTGAGATCTTCCTATCTGTAAAAGTCTTTGTGATATAGTCTATCTGAACTTCCTTACTTTAGATTTGGTTCCACTGAAAATACCCATTAGTTTATAGTGTGTTAATTTTCAAAATAATAAAAGTTTTGATACAGCTCATGACATGGAATCAATTATTAAGTCTTTAGATAAAAATGTTGCCTTGCTGAAAAAAAAGAACTCAATTGACAGGTGGGTCATGACTGTCATACTTAAGATAATCAAAAGGCCTGCAGATAAATTCCAACAAACTCTGTCTCTATTCAGCATGAAGGCCAACAGGAAACTGTGATGGTCTTAGCAAAAATGTATGGATAAAGGATAAATTCCCTATTGTTGCACATAAGAAACACAAAGTAGGTGCTCTGATAATGATAGCTAATTTCAACATGGAATTAACATACTGATGAACAAATGATACAGGATGTTTAAGCTGCCTAAGAAAAGGCCTCAGAATAGCACTTATCTTAAGATACAACACCCTCAGCACTGGACAATTTATTTATTTATATTGGAGAATTTATTTTCAATTTATTTTTGGTAAATAGTAGCTCCTGAATATAGTATGTGTTTACTATGCAAACACCTCTTACTGTTACATAACAAATTCACAGAATGTACAGTACCTTTCCCAAGAAGGCCATAGCATGTGAATTGCCAGCATTAGCTGCTAAATTGAAGTAGTCAAATGCTCTCTGTGAGATAAGAATTTATGAAAATAATTAGTTTTTAATAGAATCTATTTTAGCCAAAGCATATTATTTCAGGAACACTAAAACAAACAAAATTTGTTATATCACAGTGGCTTTAACAGCAAGAACACCTAGTTTTCAATATATCAAAATGAAAATCTGTGCATCCAGAAGTTTTATTTCACCTGATAGCTACATCAAGGTATTATTTATCTTTAAATCACTTTATAATTATAGCTACAAGAAATTTCTTGTGTTCCTTAAACTTCAGACCCAAGAAGACTTGTGTTATTTACTGGTAATGTTTGTAAATAGCCTACCTAAAAACACCTGACTGAAGCTCACTTATTTATCTACCTCACTACTGATAACCTAAGAGGTCTTTACAAGGTATGGAGTGTATTTTCATAGTTCTTTAAAGAAATATAATTTCCTTTTATACTATTTAGAGAAAAATTCCGGATACTACCTAAAATTATAACTAAACATACTGGCATCTGTAGAAATCCCTCATCACCACTGTCAACTATACTGGCCATTTTTGTCAAGGACCTTGTAGCACTGATTATTCCTTCTCTCTCTTGCTGATTTACTCTAACCCTCTTTCTGATCCTTTCCCCTTCAAATCAACCCCAAACACATAAGATGCATCTTTCAGCTCTCCAATTTTTCTCCTGGTAGCCATTTTGCTTCATAACCAAGCTTCTCAAATTAACTGTCTATAGGCACTCTAATCCATTCTACAATCCGTTTTAATTGCCTTCCATCCATAGTACTTCAGAAAGAAAGCCTATAAGCCACCAATGATCTTCATATTATTACCAATAAAAATTTCCCCTCATCTTATTCCACCTCTTTGTAGCATTTGGCATAGTCCACACATGCTCCTTCCTGTTCTGAAACACTCTTTTAGCTTGGCTTACAAGATGCCACTCTCCTGGTTTTCTTCCTAACTCTCTACCTGTGCCATCTAAGTCTTCTTTGTTGATTTTTATTCTATCAGCTGACTTAAATTTTTTTTTTTGTAATTGTAGATGGACAGAATGACTTTACTTCATTTATTTATTTATTTATTTATTGTGATGCTAAGAATTGAATCTAGTGCCTCAGATGTGCTAGGCAAGTACTCTGCCATTGAGCTCCAGCTCCAGCCCCTATCAGTTGACTTTTTAAACATTTAAATTTTTCAGGGCTCATTTTTTACTCTGTTCTTATTTTACATTCTCTACAAGCAATCTTATCTCCAATCCCATAGCTACTGAGGCATATTTACATTTTTATTCTTTTGCTTCCTCAGGGATTAGGTAGATCCTGAAAGCTTATTTATGATATGTATTTAAAAGACACAAGCTTGATATTGGCACTGACTAGCAAAAAATACTTCTGGAGCATGATTTCTTGCTACAAGGTGAGGTGTAAAGCCACAGGAACAGGGTAGTTACCTGATGATTTTGTTCTACTCCACGCCCTCCATGCAGATGCAGTTGTCCCAGACCAACCTGAAAATCAGTGAAAATAAGGCAAAAGCAGGTGGTAGCAACTAGCATATAATTTATCAACATTAGACCAACCAGAAACTATTTGGTGATTAAAAAGCTTCTGTTCCTAACTCAAAAAACTAGACATTTAAACTGCATAGTGGCGCACACCTGTAATCCCAGCTAAAGGGAGGCTGAGGCAGGATGATTTTCAAATTTAAGGCAATTTATTGAGACCCTGCCTCAAAATAAATAAATAAATAAATATATGAACTGAGGGTGTAGCTCAGTAGTAGAGCACCCCTGGGTTCAATTCCTAGTACAAAAAAACCCAAAAGAAAACAAAACAAAAACTACACATTTAGTCTTAAATCCTGATATTACTCTAAAATTAATAAAAAATATAATTATCTAATAATTCACATCATTATCTAATTTGCTATTTATATATTAATTATCAACCTAAATTTTCTAAGAGCTAAAAGTTACTCTTTAAATTACAAAGTATCCTTCTGAAGTGGGAGTGAAATAAAGGTATTTGCAGACAGATTAAAACTTAATTTTATCCCCAGTGAACATGCTAAAAGGCAATAGAGGGTGATTTCTAGCTAAGTAGAGCAAATATCTGTGAAGTGCAGAGATACAATAATAAATAATGCAATGAAAAGGCAAATGTACGAATACATTTAAATTGATATGAACTGTATAAAACAATACCTTGTGAATTTAAAAATATATATAATATAAACACAGAGTGCTATAAGAATTTGGTGGTGTCCTAGCCAATGGTTAAAAGTGCTTAGGATGCAAGTTACATGCTTAGGATAGAAGAGTGCCCAAAGAATGTCCAACTACCATGCTAGTGGAGCAGAAGAGATACAACAGCAAACAACACTCAAACCAAGAGGGAAAGAAAGTAGACATAAGGAAACATGGAAAATAAAGATAAAGTAAATATAACAGAAAATTTAAGCTAAAATATATCATTTTTAAAGAAAGATGCTTAATCAGACAAGATAATTTTGTAACAATTTCCATGAGCTAAGATTTGGATCTACTTTTCACTATAGTTTTTTTTTTTTCTTTTTTTAACAACTTAAGCAATTTAAGACTTCCTTCCATTAGCCTTAAACTAATTGTTCTTAATAAGCATCTACTACTTATTTCTATATGTTCTAAATCAGAAATAACTACAACTGTAATAGGTAAAAGACAGATGCTAAAGTTCTTTTTATTTTACTATCATCAAAATAAACCATGAGGGCTGGGTTGTGGCTCAGTGATAGAACACTTGCCTGGCATGTGTGAGGCACTGGGTTCAATTCTCAGCACCACATATATATAAATAAATAAATAAATAAATTAAAGGTCCACTGACAAATAAATAAATAAATAAATAAAACCCCCATGAAGCATAAATAAATAGTAAATAGCTCTATAGAGCTTCTGGAGACTTCTTGTTTAGGGAAACTGACAGTGTTTGTTCTTATTGATTCCAATAAAAGCCTCATCATCAGGGTCAATGCTGCTCCATTCAAGCAGTGATTTCCCACTGTGGGGCATGGGGCAAGTCATATGGCCAGCTTTTAGGAACCTGTCAATACCTAGGCCCCATCCTAGATAAACCCAAATGAAATCTTTTCATAGTGTGGGACCCTTAGTATTTCTTTTAATGTTCCTTATGTGACTCAAATACGTAGCAAGTAACTGCTCAGAGTGATGAGAACGCTACTTATAGAAGTAAATGCTTGCCTCTCCTCCCCATATTAAAATATTAATCAGATATTCCATGAGATGTATAAACACATACCTGTGCTTGTACATCACCTTTTTCAGCTAGGAACTGGTAATACTGAATCAAATCTTCTTCTAACATTCCACTGTTCATTCCTGGGTTTTCTACTTCATCAGGTAGCCGTATTCTCTGTACCACAGAGCCTCCTGTTAGTGAGATATCACTAGCAACTGAAATAGGAGGACAAAGTAAGAACAGAAAGGAAAGTCAGAAGGATTCCAGTTGCCAAACATGATTTTAAAGAAACTGTTTCTATAGCGGTCTACACATTACAAAATAGTCATCAATTAATAAATCAGACCTATTTCCCCCACAAAATATTTAAAAAGTGGAAGACAAATCAAAATTCTTAAGAAATATTTCTCAATCAACTAGGTTTAAGAATGAATTCACTTAAGACAGCCATTCATGAAATTTCAAATACTACAATAAAAATAAATGTATTTAAATTTAATTTTTTTTTTCCTGGAAGGTGAAAGGAAAAAAATAGCTACCATGATTTGCAACAAGACGATAATGGGTCAGTGCAGATTCACAACTCTGGAGGACTCCAATGCCAGCCCAGTACCTGTAACCCTGAAAGACACCTTTAAGTGAGAGGACAGAAGTTTCAAATGATTCAGTGACATTTTTCTTGGAACAAACAAAGCTAAGCACACTCAGAATGTAATTCTGCTGTCTTTTGATCAAAGTACATTACCATCTTACTTAATCCTCAGTTTTAAGTTCTAAGGTCCTTTATTTAGCAACTCCAACAAGCACACTATAGTTAGGAACTATGCAATAAAGTCCCTACAGCAATCAAAATAAATGCCATGAACTTTATGTGTGCACTTAAATCATAAGAGAAAATTTCTTAGAATTAAATCTTATTTAATATTATCCTTAGGGCATTACTGTATAATAACATGTATATAGTTAATGTTTTAAATGTTTCTATAAAATATTTAACATATATTTGCTATATAAAAAATTTAATGTTTCATGTTTCTTGAAAATTCACCAGAAAGGAACTTTTCAACTACTGTTAGAGAAATAAATGTTACTATATACTACACAAATGAAAAAAACATGATTGAAATTAGAAATGTTCAGAAAGTTAGAGCATCACCTTTGTTTTCCACTTTATTTCCTACAGAACTAGAAGCTCCTAGGCACACTTTTTGTATGATTCCCATTTTCCCGCACAGCTTATGTGCTTACATTCCCTTGCAAATACCACTTTTTCTCTGGTTGTTATCCCTCTGTATTTACTGCATCACTGCATGGTGGCCTTTTGCTTCTTCCATTTATTTAATACAAATGTTACTAAAAAAAAAAAAATCCATAAAAGCAAAAACACTTTGATTCTTTCCTCAGAAATATCTCTGTAAATCCTGTTCCCTTTCAATACCAGTGTTCTCTCACATTCAGTGTAGAGTACTGTAATGGCCTCCTTATGTCTCCCTTTTTAGATTAAAAGCTTGTTCAGGGTAAGCACTATACATTATTCATATTTGGAATCCCAATAAACAGTTAAATAGTTTTGAATACACACAGGTAAAATGATCTAGGATCTATCCAGTTCGCTAGGAAACTACATTTTCCTTTTTTGTTAAGTCTCATTTCCCATAAATGACCAAGTCTCTAGATCCTTTCCCTACTTTCAATCTCATTTCCACTTATTCAATCCTTTACATTCCTGCAAGAGTTAACTGATATTCATTTGAAACACAGTAACATGCATAAGAAGTCATATGAGGGATGAGGCTGTGTAGCTCAGTGTCAGAGCGCCTGCCTAGCATATGTAAGGCAGTGGGTTCAATCCTTAGCACCATATACAAATAAAATAAAGGCATTCTGTCCATCTACAACTACAAAAAGAAAAAAAAAATGAAGTCATATGACTTAAAGTCAGTTTATAGTTAAAGGCAGATTAAGCACCCGAGCAGAAAAAGAATTTGGTGTAAAGATTATATATTTACCACTAAGTCATTTAAGTGACCAATGCTTTCTGGTAACACAATGAGATACTCTTAAGTCTTTTATTGGACACTGTTCTTTGTACAGTAAATCCTTGGTCAGATTAAATGCAAAATCTACAATAAACCAATCTAAAAATTATTCTGACAATTCCAACTCAGACAAATTTTCATCCATATGGAGATTAAATTTGTTATCTTCATTAACAAGAAAGTGAAGGATATTTAACAGAATATACGGTTTTAAGTAAATCTCAGTCTTGAAGGATGGAAAAGTTGTGGGCACTGTAAACCACTACTAGCCTTCTACTGAAGTCATTACTTACCAAAACCATGTGGGCTATTAGATTGCCGCCAAGAGCACCGAATGTATAATACACAAGAGCCTATGAGAGAACAAAAATAACACTTGACTGAATATAGGCATATATTTATTCACTTCAAATTATAATCTACAATAAAGTTTGAATAGTGTTACCTTTGCCTGACTTGAATTAACACCAAGTCCAGAGGCATAGAGAAAGCCAAGAGCCTGAAATAAAATGGTGAAAATAAGAATTTTTTCTTTGGTGAAAACTTATCCAAGACAGACACAATTCTATGCACTATGAAAAAATGCAAGAGTCTTTAAATGCTAAACAAATTGAATGCAAGTATTCATAAAAATGAAATTAAAGAGCCTCAGATATGTATTCAGGATTTTTTTTTGGTTAAAAATGAGGCAGGAATGTCGAGAGTTCAAAGCCAGCCTCAGTAATAGCAAGGCAGTAAACAACTCAGTGAGACCCTGTCTCTAAGTAAAATACAAAATAGGGCTGGGGATGTTTTTAGGACTGGCCCTTAAAAGCATTCCAGAGATTTTCTCATCTCTTTCCCCTTCAGGACGGCTCGGAAACCCATGATCCTAATGGTGAAGCTACAGGATGAGTGCCCCTGAGCCACATCCCCAGCCCTATTTTGAATTTCACTTGGAGACAGGGTCTCACTGAGTTGCTTAGTGCCTTGCTATTGCTGAGGCTGGCTTTGAACTCACAATATTCCTGCCTCAGCCTCTCAAGATGCTGGGATTACAGGCATGCACCATTGTGTCCAGCTTGTATTCAGGATTTTAAATGACACAATTCAATGTAACTTTAAACAAGTCAGAATTTAGTCTGAATATTAAAGACAATCTAATAAAATAACTAGAAAACCAAAGCCAAACACAGTTAAATATGATTCTCCTTCATCTTCATGAAGAGCCATCATGAAGACAAAAAAACGTTCATGTTGTTACATCAACATACATCTCTCTCTATGGAGTGAGATATTCTATGAATATGGACAAGGGATTACCAAGATAAAACTATCCTAGGAATAAAAAGACAGAAAAGAGTCAATGGAGAAAGGTCACTCTGCAATGGTAGAGTATATTACCATTTTCTAAGAAAAACCACAAAACACAATGCATTGGTAAAGTTCTACTCTTTGCCTTCTATGAATCATCCTTCATGATATGAAAGTTATAATGCAAGTGCGGCAGGGAATGCTACTGCTCATCAAAATCCATATGCTCCTCTATATTTTCCAGCCTCTTGTATAGTTAGGTAGGACCTGGGACATGGCATGAAGGAATAGAAACTATTTTTAGGACTGGCCCTTAAAAGTATTCCAGAGATTCTCCCATCTCTTTCTCCTTCATGATGGCTTGGAAACCCATGATCCTGATGGTGAAACTACAGGATGGAAATAGCCTATGACCAGGAGTCATCATTTGGAAGAGTGATGTAAGTAGGAGTTCTATCAAACATGGTGTGAGCAAGAAACAACTCTTGGTAGTGTCAAGCCACTATGATTTTGGAGCTTTGCAAGTTGCATCACCTAGAATTTACCATGGAAAGAATGCTTTGCAATGTATAAACTGTTGTGTCATTGTAGGGTTCAATTATTAGAGTAAAATGTTGCTTTATAAGTAAAACCATTCTTGAGAACAGAATGCCTCTAAAGACAGAATATATGTAATATATGTATGATATTATAAAAACTAGTTTAATAAAGGGAAAAAAAAGCTTTGAAACAAAGGGGAAAAATCAAAATATAACCTTTTTTAAACTGAGAATTAGAAAGAGCTACAGATGCATTAGGTATTAAGATATATAGAAAATAATGATTACATTTCCTGTTATTGTTTAAATAGTCTGAAATAAGACTTATTCTGTGATTAGACATTTTGGTTTATCTTTAGACAAATCCCACAGTTGCATAAATCTGAGTTAAAAAGACGTTTAAATAACTGTGATGGCTTTCTAAACCCAGATGTTAATCTTGGCATTACTAATGTTTTAATTGATAACATTAACACATATTATATTATCAACTAATGTAATGCAATCTGAATATAGAACATCCTCTACAATGTAGTTTAGCCAAAAACATTTTACTTGAATTAATCAGCTTTTAGCTATAATATCCAATTTATAGGAAATATAGGGGATGCAGAAATAAAAGAACACTATTAAGATGCAGATGTAGGACATTCTGCATAAACTGTCCCTACTTCTAACACAATATGCTCTGGTCTCGGTGGTACATAAGTAATGTTTACTTTCTTAGTTTTGCAACTTTGGTGAAAATGCAAGGGTAAGTAGTTTCAGATGAAAAAAATAACCTATATGTTTCATTCTCTGAGACCTAATTTGTTTTTTTTTTATTGGTTGTTCACAACATTACAAAGCTCTTGACATATCATATTTCATACATTAGATTGAAGTGGGTTATGAACTCCCAATTTTACCCCAAATACCTAATTTGGAAAAACTACAAATGTCATTGTGGCAAGATGTAATCTCAAAAACACCTTTACTAATCTAATCATAAGTGTTCTCACTCTAAGGAAAAGTAATACATAAGATAGGTGAAATAATCTGCCAAAAAACTTGTATTTAAAGTTATCTTTCAGTCTTGTTAAAATACATCAGGGTATAGAGGGAAAACTATTGTTAAAATTAACAAGTGCTGTGTGCAGAGAGATTCTTTATTGAAAGTGCACTCACAGTTTGTCCTTTGGGAGAGCCTTCCTCAGTCAGCTTTTCAAACATTTCTCTAGCTGCCTGGATATTCTGTGTTATGTGATCACCAAACAAAAGAGCATATGACACTCTCTCCAAGGCCTTGGTATGGTTCATACTTGCTGCCTTTTGAAGATACCTATATGCTCTTTAAATATAAGCAAGTAAAAAACAAATTAGCAGTGTTTTGGAACTGCTATTAAAAGTATTTTTTACAAAATCTATTAAAATGAAATATAAATAATGTCATTTTATGATACAAAATTTTCTGATATTATTTCTAATAAATCATGCTATTTATATATGTAGAAAACTTTCTGGATATTTTGACAAGGTACCAGTTCTCCCTATTACCCGAGTATCTTGGAATAGTCTAGTTACACTAACAATAATTATAGAAACGTCTATTAAAACATCTATTACAAAAGTTTGCAATAAGAATTGTAATGTGATAATGTTCAATAAACAATACAATAATAGCTATTGCAATTTTCTTTTTGACTCTGCATAGGCTACAACAATCAGCAAAAATGAAAAGCAAAATATTAGCATGTAATTACTTCTTTTATATTCTTTCAAAATGCAAATTATTTAACTGCAGTTGAAAATTCCAAAGCAAAACCAAAAAACAAACAATATACCTGATGACAATTCCTTTTGTTAGTTTTAAGTCATGTTGAATACTGAATATTATATGCACTCTTAGTTCTTAGAAACTATTTACAACCTTAGTCAGTTATTTCCACTTTTCTCATTGTTCATTCCTTTGATCAATACTTAAAAATCTTTTTATATAAACAGACTAAAATCTGATAAAAGTCATAATATGAATGTGTATGAATCATGTCATTTTCTGGGAACTTATGAAATCTCGGTCTCTGGCAATACAGTTTTCATAAAAAAGCACTTGGCTACTTTTCTCAATTATAGCTTTCCTGGAGAAAAATGAACTTGACAGTGCTACCTACTCTCGTTTTTGGCTTTTTTTATTGCTTCCGTTGAGGATTTTCATTCCAGTCAGATACATCGTTTCTGCTTCCTGCATTTGCCGTCTCTTAGCAGCCTCTTCTTCAGCTAAAATAAAATGTCACATGCATTTAAATGGATTTTAATGCTATACCAATTATTTATCAAATATAGGAATTTATTATTTCTTTGGGAAGGTCATACAAACACAACAAATGATCTTTTACTAGTTATAAGTGTGAGTGGACTTTACTGACATGACTTAAAAACTACAAAATCCACTGAAAAATCACTTTCTTTTAGAGAAAGCATTACTAAGCTGCTTTTCAATTGTACATTCTGTTATTAATGCTGACATTTTATAAATAACTCCACAAAGATTTCAGATTATATTCCAAGGCCAGCTAAAATAAAAACACAAAGAAACTAGATAACAACACTTGTCAAAAAAAGCTGTTGTTGTGGACTGGGATTATGACTCAGTGGCAGAGTGCTTGCTCTGCATGTATGAGGCACTTGGTTGGATCCTTAGTACCACATAAAAATAAATAAAGGTCTTGTGTCCATCTACAACTTAAAAAAAAAAAAAAAGCTGTTGTAGTCAAAGGATAATAGGCCTTAGGCCTTATCTGAAATCTATATTTTATAAAGACAAGTATTTAAATACATAAGAAAAATTAGATTTTTATTAAATACAGATCCAAATTTAATGTTCAAGTTCCTTAATTTTTTTCATATTCTCTACTAAAACACTGAAAATCACAGAATTGTTAAATTACAATTTTCAAAAATTATTTTGTTACTGTAAAATAGAGATCATCAAGACATATACTTCATTAAGATATTTAAACAAATAGAAATTAATTCTTGTACTATAGAAAAATCTGATGTATTAAACTGGAGTTCCCAGTCATAGTGGTCTATACCCAAAGATGCACTATATTTGATGTTGTTTCCTAGGAATACACAAATATTATATCAGAATCATTATGCTAAAAATGTTACTTGGCATTAAAAGTGATTCTGCTCAAGATTTTCTGTTAGAAAGTTCTTCTGAAAACATAGCTTGCCTGTAGAGGTTGGCCCCTTTATAATAACATTTATTTATACTTAGTATGATTAAAATTCTATATTTGTCAAATGTTATCTTGGCAGAGAATACTCCACTCAAAATATTTAAAAGGCATTAGTTTTCTTCTAATCACTATTAACTGTCATCATAACAGTCTATTTCCTTTATTGCCAAAAATGTTTTGTGTTTATTAATGCAGCAACCTACCTGAAGTATTTATGGAACTACCTGTGCACACAAACTAAAAACCTTTTCATAAGACATGACTGTAATAAGCTTTCTGAGTGGTAGTCTGAAAATAAAGGCAGCACATGCATCTAGTTCTGAAGTCCATTCATTAAGGCTGTAACAGGTCAGCTGGCCATTTCTCACCAAGGTAGAAAAGAATGGTTACAGACAGGCCTTCAAGATGTTGCCCTAAACATAAAGCAATGTGCACATGCCTCCTGTTGAGCAATACTTACTTTCACAAAAGCCCCACTTCTCATCTGTCTTGTAGTCATAGGTTGTTGCACACCATAGTCTGCCATCTTCTCTTCCATCTGATGTACATTCTTCATATTCTTTATCCAGGAAAAGAAAAGGGAAATGGCAAGGCTCCCCATGTGCTGTGCCTTCAATGGCAGTCAAGGCTAGAAAGAAAAGAAATAAAATCAAAACATGAACTACAATTTTGGTATTCATGGATTCAATACTGTTGCTTTCAGTTCTTAGATTTTGAAGGTGAAGATACATGATATATGAATGGTAAAGGGGAACATAATAGACCAGTGCTGATTTTGATTAGGACCTGAGGTTGAATCAACACAATGAGCATAATTAGCTCACAACTCACATTCAGATCTAGCTTAAACTTTTGAGATAAAACCTTAGAAAAGTGTGCCATAAAACTCCTGCCCAACAAGTGAGCAAAAATTAGGCAAAATACAACTGAAAACAATTCCACCGCTCAGTAGAACTCCTTTTTTTTCTGAGTATATGAAAATTTCTTTAATAATATAAAAGTATACAATGAAAATGCTCCCCAATGCAAGTTAATCACACACATACTTGTCTGTGATCCCACAATATTTTGGTAGAGCACTTACCATATGTTCAGAGTTGTTTTTTTTTTAAAAACCATAATCTAGCTCCCACTAAATTTTTTACATGATACCTCTCATTTAAGGTAATAAGAATTCAAGAGTTCACATAGCTGCTATTGTTATTCTTGGCATTCTCTCTCTGAAAGGTTGGAAAGCATCCCTCTTTCTTTTCTAGTGTAAAAAAGAGCATGTCCTAACATAGTAATTTAAAAAATATTTTCAGTAAGTTATGAAACATAAAATGAATTTCAAATGGTTTACCACCATGCAGATGTCATTCATCATCCTAGTAATCACTGTCCATGTTTTAAAGAAATTATCCCTAATGGAATGAACAGGCAAATTATCCTTTAGCAACAATCTGTGAGAAGTCATTCTGAATACAGATTTCTGAAAAGGGCATTCCTATGCATTGCTACTAGATCCAAATCTGCTTTGGAAAGACAGAATCTATAGAACTGCAGCTTGTAAACTGAATTTCAAATCAAATAGCATATGATGGTTTAAAAGAACATTTATTTTTTTCTATAATAGAAAATTTTGTCTTAAAAAACAAATAGCTTATTATAGAAATTCTAGTTCACCAAGCTTATACTTTTGTATGAAATAATTATTTCATGTGATAAAACTATACAGCAAAAATTAGACAAAAAGGTTTTGGCAACAATAGTTTTTAGCCTACTGCTGATTCATCACTAGCTGAAGCAGGAAGAACCTCTAGGATGCACCTGCTTCAATATAATCAAAACTGAAAGTTGTTAAAATAATGTGTTTATTAGCAAATTACTAGAAAGAGAATGTTGAGTCTCTAAGCTAATTCTCCAAGCAAAATTACAATATGGAAACTGTTACTACTTTTTTTTGGGGTGTGTGTGTGTGTGTGTGTGGTACTGGGGATTAAACCCAGGGTTATGGGGTACCCTACTAATGAACAATATCACTAGCCCTTTTAAAATTTTATTTTGAAACAGGGTCTTGCTAAGTTGCCCAGGCTGACCTTAAATGTGTGATCTTCCTGCTTCAGCCTCATAAGTAGCTGGGATTATAGGCATGTGCCACTACATGCAGCTTAAAAATTTTTAAACTTGTCTTAAAAATTTTGAAGTTACTGACTGGGATGTCCTAATTTCAAATCACTTATCTCAAGTAAAAATTCTTCACAATAGTGTTAATTTCACTATTAATTTTTTTCCATGGAGAGAGTCTGCAATGATTTCAAAGCTATTCTTTTAAAAACCTGTACAAGAATAATTATCAGTTTTAGAAACAAGGTATTCACTCTTTTGGTATGACAAAGTTGGTTGTCTATGCAATTTAAAATAGTGATGGCTAGCAACCAAATCTGACACTTAAAATGAAAGGGGAAAATGTGTCATTAAGGAAGTTCTGTAGTTTTGTGTAAAACTTCAGATTTTCTAGATAAGAAATCATATTTTGGGTCTATGATAATGACAATCTATTTAACATTAAGAGTAAGATTCTGGGGGAAGGGGATTAGCAAGGATGGTGGAATGTGATGGTCATCATTATACAAAGTACACATATGAAAACTTGAATTGGGTGTCAACATACCTTTTATACAAACAGAGATATGAAAAATTGTGGTATATATGTGTATTAAGAATTGTAATACAAAAAAAGTACATGTATAATGGCATAAATTGAAGTGAACATACTTTATATACAGAGATACAAAAATTGTGCTCTATATGTGTAATAAGGATTATAATGCATTCCATGTTGTCATGTATTTAAAAAATAATAAAATCAATAATAAGAAATAAATTAAGTATTAAAATTAAGAGTAAGATCCTTAATTTGTGGCACATAAGAAATTATTGTATTGCTTTATATTTAAACTAGTAGAAATCTGCTCTTGCAAATTCAATTAAAATTATTCAAGATGGTATTCTTGTGCACAGGAATGGTGGTGCACACCTGTAATCTCAGCAAATTGGGAGACTGAGACAGGAGTATTGCAAGTTGAAAGCCAGCCTCAACAACTTAGTAAGGCCCTGAGCACTCAGTGACACCCTGTCTCATTACTGAAAAAAAAAAAAAAAAAAGGCTAGGGATGTGCTTCAGTGGGTAAGCTCTCCAGGGTTCAATCCCCAGTATCAAAAGAAAGCAAGCAAGCAAGCTTAAAAAAGTAAAACAATAACAACAAAAAACAAAAACAAAACAAAACTGAAAACACTCAGTTGTCCAGCTGAATATATAAGTTTATTCACACTGCTGGCAGGTACATAAATTAGCACAACTTCTCTAGAAGGGACAGTTAGTCATACTTTTTAGGATTTAAAAGATTCATATCTTTAGATGCAGTTTTTCTACTTTTAGGATCCTTACTTACAGAAAGCTCTCACAAGTATTCAAAGAGATTATATGTAAGAGAGATCTGTACAGTATTGTAATTTTAAAAATATAAGACTGAATAGAAAATTAGAAATTCATTGAACCAGAGAAAAGGAAATAAAGGGAAGGATGGGAGGATGAGAACAGAAAAGACAGAATTTTTCCTATCCTTATATATGAATACACAACCAATGTAACTCCACATCTTATACAACAATAATAATGGGATCCTAATTGAAACAAGTTATTCTTATTCTATGTATATATAGTATGTCAAATATACTCTACTGTCACATGCATCTAGAAAGAATAAATTAAAAAAAAGAAATTCCACAACATAGAAGCATTCATAAAACTCCACTGTTAAATGAATCACCAATTCAATTTAAAAAATTAACCTTAAAAAAAAACCTCAAAGATCTACTGATAGAGGAGATTGGTCACATCAACTTTGGCACAGCCCTAAATAGAAATGTGGGTATTATCAACACTGAGGGAATTAAAGATAACTAGAGAGTAGTGTAGACAGGTAAAAGGACAGAAGGCTGAATCCCAAGTCTCATGTTTCAATATTAGGCAGATAAAGGAATCAGCAGCTAAGTAAAGAAAGCATCTTCAGAGATGGGAACAAATAGTGGTGAGGCATTACTAAGATGAGGACCAAGAAATGACCAGGTATCCACCAATCACAATGTGACTGGTGAAGGGATGATTTAGTGGTCTGGGAGGGGACTAACACCTCTTAGAACTGGATTAGAGAATAGGAATACAGTAAGTGAAATCAGTGCTTACAGACCACTCTCTCAAGAAATTATGCTATCAAGGGAGTAGAGAAATAGGGTGGTACCTGGAAGGGTACAGGTTTTTTATTTTAATGTAAAATATAGCATGTTTGAATGCTGAAGGAAATAGTTTTGAGAGAAAAATACAAATGTGGCTAGACTGCTGTTATATATATTGAATTAAATGTCTGGGGAATATAAACATACCCTGTCCTCATTTTTTATTGTAAAATCAAGACAAAGCCAAACCCTAAAAGTTAATTTGATCTATATGAATAAACACAAGAAATTTACTTTGCAAAGTTCCCACTTTGAGAACATTCACAGTGTTATTAAAGATTGATATTGTATCTATAAGTTTAGATCAGTGTTCTGTTAAATAGAAGAAAATGAACTATTCATGCTGCTTATTTGAGGCAATCTCGTTCATTAAAACATAGTAGTGGGGCTGTAGTTGTGGCTCAGTAGTAGAGCGCTCACCTAGCACACATGAGGCTTGATCCTCAGCACCACATAAAAATAAAGGTATTGTGTCCACCCACAACTAATATATATGTGTGTGTGTGTGTGTGTGTGTGTGTGTATATATTTAAATTATATATAATTTTTTAAAAACATAGTAGTCAGTAGCATCTAATTCAAATGTATTTGTAGTCAAATATAACTGAAAAACAGTTTGTGTTAAAAGTTACAAATCTCAAGACAATTGTAAAAGTGTTTACCAGTTTTATTAAAACATCAAGACAAAAGCTCCATCAACAAACTGATCATCTCATACATACACACACATCCCCAGAGTACTGAAACAAAACACCTGTGTAGATGATTTAAGGGAAATCACAGTTGTCATACTTGATTTAAAGTAAATGGGGCAGCATGATCTCACTCCTGTGGAATCTAAAATGCTGATCTCTTAAGTAGAGAGGTGAATGAATGGTGGCTGCAAGAGGCCAGGGTGGTTGTGATTGGGGTAGTGGGGGGAAGGTCAAAGGATATATAATTATAGTTAGATAGGAGGATAAATTTCAAGAAATCTATTGTATATGATATACAAAGTACATCAAGAAGACTATGATCAATGATATATTATTATTTTGAAAAATGTTTGAGGGATGTGTGCTCTTACCACAAAAATGACAATGGGAGGCAAAGCCCTGGTTAAAAATTAGCTAGATTTAACCATTCCACAATGTTATGGGTACTTCAAAACATTGTTATACATAACAAAGCATTCAATATTATCTGTCAATGTAAAAAATTTAAAAATAAATGAATGAATGAATGAAAATAAAGCAAATGGTCTAGGCCAAATGAAGCAGTATTATTGTTGCCTGGGATTCTGTCCTAGTAATACTTAGGGGGAAATACCAATGTTACAGGCAGATTACTTTGCCTGTAAAGTTGTGAACT